TATTTTGGAAAATTAAACGACTGTGTATATGGTAATCTGGATGAAAAAGGAAAATGAGCAACAGATATTTCTTTATCAAAGCATTGCTCCAATATAAATTAGATTCAAACATTTAATTTCGTGTTTCCTCCCAACGCTCTCTCACAAATGGACGTATTTCTGCCAAGCGGAACTATGTGCATTATGACACGAGCCCTATTATGCGTATATTCTTATGGGTCTCAGGGCTCATATCTTAATGCCTATAGTTCCGTTTGACAGAAATACTTCCAAATACGATATGAGTCTTGTAAGTATTCCGGAAGGAATCTTCGTTCCAGCCGTTGAATCAAAACTTATTTCGCTTCCAATCCTTAAATGCGCATTCATGAACAAACAAAACCGGCGAAAGGTTAAAATACACGGGGAGGGGTCGGAGGTTTCAAGAATACCAAACAGAATGTTAAGATCTCGAGTTCAGTCAAGTTTGAAGAAGTTTTCGGGGTGGCGCCTCGAGGCAGGGGTGGCCGAAAAGGGTGAGGGTGGAGGGCAAAATTAAAATATCAACATAGAATGAAAACGAATTCACCCACTTAAACGCATATCACAACAGCTCCGAGAAACGGAAGGAAAAGCTACAGGAATCTGAGAACTTTAGGGGTCTCGGGCGCGGTGAGGAGGAAAGGATAAAGGTAGACGCATTGAGAATTGCCCATCGAACGTCTTTGAGAAAATGTTGGATCCGAATTTTCAATCAGAACTTTCTTCAATATCACGAAGAAATAAAAATCGCACCGATAAAAAAGGGGTGCTGATTTAACATTCTGGATGTAAAAAAGTGTGCGACAACTCACAAAACGCTGAATTAACCGCCACAGCAGTTATTTTTACATCTTGAAACTGCTAAAGTAACTGCTATAGCGGTTGATTCAGCATTTTGTGAGCTGTCGCACACTTTTTTACATCCAGAATGTTAAATCACCATCCCTTTTTTTTCGGTGCGGTTCTTAAGAAACATGAACATTTTTAGTGTAGGTAACCAAAGTTTTCAAAAATTAAGAATGACTTCTCGGTAAAAATGGTCTTGCTGATTCTACAAATAAATTGTTAAAAAAAAAAGTTAAAAAATGTTAATTTAACCATTGGGGTGGTTACTTTTTCATTGTGAAATCTACATTGAAACATGTCGGCTACATTTTTTTTCAGCAATTTAATCGTTAAATCAGCAAGACCATTTGTTTTGGTGAGGAATTCTGCAATGCCACAAACCGAGATACATCTGGTTTGGCAGTTCCACTGTCGATATGCTTTTACTACTACTACCACTACTACAACTACTATTACTTCTACTATTACTATTACTACTTCTACTTCTACTTCTACTACTACTGCTTACACTATTACCACTACTAGCAATAATTCGCACTGTGTTTGACGCAATGCGTGAAGTATTCACGCAGTCTTGTAGGCGCTATGCGTTTCACGCTGACCACATTGTGTTTGGCGCAATTGTACTAACTATTTAATATTTATTTACCTTAAGTAAACTTCAATTTTTCGCTTTAAGTATTCTGCGACGAGTGATATTTTTTACTTGCATAATTACAAGTATATAATTATGCATCCGATTGCAAACATGCATATTTTGAAATATTTCCACAGGCTTGATTAATTTTTGACAGTGCTTCATGGCATGTTCGAAGCATCCGTTGTCAGCGACGCTGCCTCCCGAAAGTTCTGAAAATAACCGAAGTAAAGCGCGTGTAGTGGCAGACTTGGACTTAATTTGAGTCAGATCTATAAATTTGAGCAGATCTCGGTCCAGTCGAATTCCGAGCATGTAACTGCCAAACCGTGCAAGAAATCGTCGAATCGGACGCGCTACTCGTTACGAGATCAATTAGTGTTTTATCCCATTTGGCAGCGCGGCTCAGCACCGGGCGGTCGGTGTGGCGTTTGGCGTTTCCGATAGTTATTTAAATGTTTCATAGATAATGAGAAATGTTTATGTTGATGTGTAGGTATCTAAATGTTTACGGAGAGTGCGTTCATCCGACGCCTGTTGTCAAGTTTGTCTCGGTTAAAACATGAAATTTGTTAAGGCGAAAAAAACACAACTTCACCGAATAAAAAGATGCTGTAGGAACATCCCGGATGTTACGGTTGTTAAAAAAATATGCGACAACTCTTGGATGTTACTATTAACACTCTGGCAGTTAACGTAGCATGATAGGATGTGAAAGTAACATCCTCGGATGTTACTTTAACAGCCAGAGTGGTAATGACAACATCCAAGAGTTGTCGCACAATTTTTTAACATCCGGGATGATACTACAGCACCTCTTTGTTTCGGTGTTCTTTATTTTCCTTTCTTAATTCTGCTGGTATTTTGATTTTTTCGTCATGGCCTACAGCCATAAACTATATTTATCGTCCGTAGACATCAAGAGATTTTGGCCCTCTCTTAGAGTTAGACGTCTCTTGAAGCACCACAACAGTACTGCTCTATTCATCATTTCAAAATAGTTGCATTATTCCTCATTGAGTCCAAAAATTTGTTCATGGAGGCCTCCTTCATGCAGGCCCACCTTTTTCTGATGAATTTTCTATATCATACGAAATGGATTAAACATTAAACTTGGCAACTGCGCATCTAATCCGTCTGGAACGTCTGATTTCTTGTTAACAATTCAAATCTAAACATATTTTAACAGCTCGCCTTCTTGTTCGCGACCCGGACCTCCATGAAGTTTTACCCCCCCCCCCCANCCCCTTCCCCCTACCACCTTCGATCGCCACGTCCGGCCAATGTGTGATCTGGATTGATATTTCCTATAATTACTCAGGATTTAGAGTCAAATGTCAAGTTGTGCTAGCATTATGGGGAAAAAGTACCTGCTCTCAAACTGACTTGACCTATGATAATTTTGAAGGGGATGTTTAAATTAAAAAAGCCTGTTGAAAGGACTACATTTTGTAGTTAGGAACGAAAATCTCTGGCTCTGTTTAGAAACGACGTATGTACCATTTGATTTCCCATTCATGTACGTGCTTTTACGGATAAGCCAGAAATTTTAGCTCCTAATTGAAAAATGAAGTCCACTTTTCAGTTCAATCTGTAAACCACAACAGGGTATATTGGATCTCATTTTGAAATCAAGAACTACAATTTCTGGCTCACCCGTAAAACATTCAAGTACATAGGGAAACTAATGGCACGTACGTTGTTTCTAACCTGAGTCAGAAACTGTAGTTCCTCACTACAATTGTAGTCCTATTAGGTTGCCTATATTACTCTTATTATTCTGGAATAAATACACGCATCAAGCATGAATAAAATTGAAATCCACTCGTGCATCATGTCGTCACATTCCGGCCAAAGTATCACAAGCGCCATGCGACGTTTCAAAATTTCCGAAGCCATTTTATTCCTTTATAGAGGTATTGTTGACTGAATCTGTCTGACAATTTCACTGAATTTTGTCGGCAGCACTAAGAAAATTCTGTGTAATTTTCGTACAGCTTCGTTGAGCGATTTTTCTGTAAAAAAATGTAATGACGGCGAAACTTGTGTAACGTTGCATGGTGTTCGTGATACTGTAGTGACGATATGCTCGTTTTTGAAGAATTTTTTCTGAATTTCGTCCGATTTTTATATATAATAATAAATTAAGCGAATGCCTGGACACCCGAAAGACCACGTGGCAATTCTGGAGAGCGGCGCGGCGGACACCCCGACCAGATTATTACTTCCTCCTCCTCAATCGCACAAGATGCCTCGGTATCCACTTTGAGTTGGAAACGCCGACTTTGGCGGAAGGTGCGACCCGCTAATTCATTCGCGACGTGCAAAGTCGATTAACGCTCGCCTACTAAGAAAATTCAAATTCATCGATGGATTCGCGAGCATTCGGTTCAAGATAAGAGCAACGCAATATTGATTGCTTTTGTCATGGCCAGAGACGATATATATTTACAATCAAAGCATCGTAATTGAGGGAGGTAAAACTTAAAGTTGGAGCCCGTTAATCGGTTCAACGCATAAGTTACACTGAAAAAAAGGCTCTTGGATACATAGTCTAGACCATTAAAAAAATTGCCGAGAACAAACACTCTTGACTCAATCTGATTTTTGCTTGAATCAAAGGGAAATTCGCTTAAATTAAGTGGCTTGGCTCTCGATTTAAGAAAAAATTCGATATGAGCATTTTTTCTCGTGAACTTTTTTAAGAGTCCGGACTTTGGATTCAAGAGACTTCAGTGCACATTGATTCTACCCCGATTCTAATCACGTAGCCTTGATGAAGCAACCACCGCTAAAACATAATTATGGTCCAATCAAAGCAATATACCCGGAATATGCTTGCATGTCTGAAATGCATGCTTACTATTGTTAAGATATACTTTGCATGATTGTCTCTTCAACATCTAAGTACATGCAAGATTTAAATTGGCAAGCACTTGATAAGAAACACTCAAACTTACATCAGGGACAAATGTATTAGAAAATAATTTACTGCAGAAATAATCTTTTGAAACAACCGTGTCGTAAAATTATGACCCCCATCTTCACAACTTACACTGCTATTTTCACACAATACTACACTGGAAAAAAAACACATTAGATCCAGAGTCCAGACTCTTAAAAACATCTACAAGAAAAAGTACTCTTGATTTAATCAAAATCTAGCTTAAATTAAGAACCAAGCATCTTAATTTAAGCGGATTTCAATTTGATTCAAACAAAAATCCGATTGAATCAAGAGTTATTTTTCTTGTCAATGTTTTCAAGAGTCTGGACTCTAGATCCTATGTGTTTTTTCCAGTGTATAATTTGACAACAGGGGTGCTTAAATCAGCATTTTTTCCAATTGTAAAAAATTGTCGAAGAAGCAAATTCACTTTTTCTGTGTTTTTTACGGCTGAGCTGCAGGGAAGCCACACAAATAAAATGAAGAAGTGCTTGCCAGTGTAGGTCTTGCTTTTTGCTTTTACAACAGTAACTCTCTTTCACGTTGCAGCTCCAGACCCGGACGACCACCAAAAAGGGCGCCCGTAGGACTCTCACTGGCCGCCTCGCATCTTAGTCAACAGCTCAAAAAGCACCGCATGGAGAATGGAGACTACTCAACCTACGAAAATGGACATCTCTCTGGTGAGTGAGATCCTCATTTCATTTTTCATCCCTTCATTGTTCTAACTCCACTCGAATTCGAGTACGTACATGAGGAGATTACTTGCACGAGCAAAGAAAGAACGCCGTGTGAGCCCCCAGACGTTACCAAAAATGAGGGGCTTGGAGGACAACTGCAGTTTTTGAAAAACCTGAGATAATAATGATATCAAGTAAAACTAGTCTTGATACAATCGGGAACTACAAATTTGGCCCAGTTTAAGAACAACGTATGTACCATTAGTTCCTCCATGCACATAAGTATTCCTACAAATGAGCCAGAAATTTTAGCTCCCAACTGCGAAAGGCAGCTCAATTGAGAAGTTAGAAGGATAAGATGCATAAGTGCAGTTTTTTTTAAAAATTTTTCTTTAAAAACGAGTCATGAATTATTTGAAGTACAACTAGTCCTAAAGCATATTTTGTGGAAAAGTCGCCCTCAAAGTTCTATTTTTGAGCATCGAAAAGTCAGTTTCAACTTTCTTTCCGGCATAAGGATCCATGTAATCTCGAAACTTCAAACACGTATTTCTGGAAAAAGCAGTAACTGGGCCTATGCGCCTAGACCTCAAAGCCCCTCAAATGTATCCTCTGTTGGGACGCGAATTTTCAGGAAAATCCCACCTATAATAGTTACCGGATCTATGTCAGCAATTCTTTCGTTCACGATAACTATCGTTAGATTTACGTTAGCTGTCTCAAATTTTGTAATTTTGTCCATTTTGATCTGATGAAGAACTGTATAGATTTTCGGTTAAATCGCATTTACCGTTTACTTATAAACGGTAATTAACGTAAGTGCCCTACTTACGCTATTTTCCACTAAACTGTTTTTATGAAAGTTCCATTCCTTGGTTTCCTTGGTAACCTTTATTTGCTATCAGCTGATGTTTTATTTCAATTTCTTTTTTTCATTTTTTTTCTTTCTTTTTTTTAATAAATCATTGCTAGGTTAGTTCTAATTTTTTTGCCAGCATTTATTCTACATCCCCTCCCCAGCTCAATTTTTTAGCTCCATCACCCTCTCCCCTCAACTCATTTTTCTATCGATTTCATCATTTTCTTTTATGGCATGTCTTGCTCCCCTACCACCATTTTTTCGGGGTTATAGATATTTTAGCGGCCTCTAGACCCGTGACTCCAGTCACGGGCATTTCGCTAGTCTGTGTATATTTAACTCTCCGATTTGTCAGCGAAATCTATTTGCAATTTGATCTTAATTATCCGCACATTTCACGAGGCGAAAGCTTCTACCATAGCCAAAATACCAACGAAGTGTGTCTCCTTGTTTGTGGTACTTAGTGCTTTCAAAGCTACATCATGAGGTTATGAATTAGAGGGATTTGACTTGGAGGGCAAAGGCACCACTCAGTCGCTCACACTTCACAGACGACCGCTAATCGAAATAACAATCGCAAACACCACTCAGCAAACACTCGGAAGTGTTTTTCCGAGTCGTATTTCTAATCGGGCTGAAACAAAAGCAGAAAAAAGGGGTGTTTGCCGCGTCTAGAAATAACACCTTTTGACAGGGCGCGGGGGATTTGAAAACTTAATTATCGAAATAGATTCACCCTCTGTTGTCGAGTTGTCCGAGAAGCTGCCATGAAGGATTCGAGTAATACAGAAGTACGTTCGTAATTATGGTTGAAATTTTCGATTCGACGTTTGCTACAACTTAAGGCGGCGCGGCGCACTGAAAAAAAAACCAGCTTGGATCTAGAGTCCAGACTCTTGAAAACAATGACAAGAAAAAATACTCTTGATTCAATCGGATTTTTGCTTAAATCAAGAACCCAGCCTCTTAAATTAAGCGGATTTCCTTTTGATTCAAGTAAAAATCCGATTGAATCAAGAGTATTTTTTCTTGTCATTGTTTTCAAGAGTCTGGACTCTAGATCCAAGCGGTTTCTTTTTCCAATGCGGGTAACATTTTATTTATGCAAACTAAAGTTCCCTTGCCACGACAAAATTAATATGATAATCAAACATAACATTAATCAAAATAAGGAAACCGAGTGTCACGACAAGAAAACTCTCGTTGTCATCACTGAAATTTCCCTCCGTTACACTGGGCGATATGCGGAATGCGGTTTCTGTGACCAGGTGAGGTGATACAATTCTTTCAACTCCCGTGCATATTGTTGCATCATCCGCAAATGAAGGCGCACGTGTGAGATTACCTCGCCTGATAATTACAGGTTGAATCATGGATAGTCTTTGTAAATAGTATAGCTTTCGGAAGAAGTGGTTTTATGCGTTGTGCGGAGCAGAGGTATGGTTGATCTAACCACAATTTCGGCTATCTCAACCATACCTATGGCTGGTGGAACCACTGTAATGTCTAGCGCCAAAATCGGCTACGTGTATAGTTGGGATTCTGATATTTTTTCCGTGTTAGCCGAATGGCATTTAACCTGGAAGTTTCGAGACATCTCTCGACAGGCGTTTCTTTTACCAGGTCATTTACAACTCTTATCACCCCCCGCCCCCCTCCCTCGCCGCGCCGCGCCGCGGAATACGAACGAGCTATTGATTTAAAGCCGTCGTTCATTTAGGCGCAGACTTTTAAATTACATCGCAACTCTTTCATTAATATTTTTCCGAAAGAGTATAAATATTTGCTCAACACTTCCTTGCCTGGCTTTGTTCGGGATTATCAATAGCCCCCCTGCCACCCCCTCGGCGCGGCCCGCCCCCTGCGCCACGAGCGGCCCCCCGTGGAAAAAGAACAGGTGTCACCACACCGCACCTTTCGCTCTCGAAGAGGGGCTACGAGGTCCACTTTTCTGGTGGTCTGTGCTCTGTTGCCGAGGGCACCGATAGGTCATTATTTCAAATTCATTTTCAAGACTGTTCCGTATTTTATTCAAATAAACGCCATGGAGAAAAAAATTCAATTCACATGGCGCATAGTAGATCGAATCAATACACTGAAAAAAAAGGATTGCTAATTCACTGATTTAGGGTGGAGAAAAATTTGCTTCACTTCGTAAAGCTTTCTTATCCGTGCACGGTGTTGAATCAAGTAAACGACTAGCACGAATTGTTACACCGATTTGCTACATCTGCGCGCCATCATGCAGTTAATCTTGCATCGAGTGGCTTGGAAGTGTAACTGCATTTTTTGGTATTGGTACTTTGCGAACAGTAAAAATAGCTCAATAGTTGGGCTGAAATAGCGGAATTTACGGAAAAATAGCGAAATAACTAAAAAGGTAACAGACGTAGCTTTTCAGAGAGCAAAATCACCTGCATGCGTGTGTGTAAATTAGCTGAAAGTTATTTCAACGTATCGAAGTTAGACTGGTCGTCTTTTCTTGGCGTCGTTCGGAAATACAGGGTTATCCAGAAGTCTGGGACCCCCCTTATAACTTTTGAACAAAAAATGCTAGAGATATGAAATTTGGGGAATGTTCATAGGTCAAAGGGAACTACTTTTTGGCGTACCCAAAATTTTGGGGGGCGCCCCCCCTGAGGGGGGGCGGACCCTAACTTTTTTTTTTCAAATGGGAACCCCTATCTTGTGATACATCATTCGAAAGGGCTTAAAAAAAGAAAACTTTTGGCGCAAACCGATTGTCGATACCTCAATTTTTAACAAAATGGCGGCCAAAAAATGGCGGCTCATTCAAAAGTCTGGGCCTCCGCTCATAACTCATGAACAAAAAATGCTAGGGATTCGAAATTTGGGGAATATTCCTAGGTGAAAGGGAACTACTTTTTGGCGTACCCAAAATTTCGGGGGGCGACCCCCCTGACGGGGGGCGGACCCTAACCCTTTTTTTTCAAATAGGAACCCCTATCTTGTGATACATCATTCGAAAGGGCTTGAAAAAAGAAAACTTTTGGCGCAAACCGATTGTCGATACCTCAATTTTTAACAAAATGGCGGCCAAAAAATGGCGGAAATGCGTTTTTTGGTTATTTACCGTCGGATTCGCTTGAAACTTGGTTTCCACAGGTTTTCGAGCACGAAAAAAACAACCAAACCACGGGGTGAGTCCTGGGTGGTTGAAATGACAAGTCAGGAAACACGATTTTCAACTGGCTGAGAGCACCGCACAGGAAATCTGACACATTCCGATTTAAACTTATTTTCCCGCCATTTTTCGGCCGCCATCTTGGAAAAGCTCGGGTATTTTGCAAATCCAATATCGTATTTGTTTTTTCGTGCTCGAAAACCTGTGGAAACCAAGTTTCAAGCGAATCCGACGGTAAATAACCAAAAAACGCATTTCCGCCATTTTTTGGCCGCCATTTTATTAAAAATTGAGGTATCGACAATCGGTTTGCGCCAAAAGTTTTCTTTTTTCAAGCCCTTTCGAATGATGTATCACAAGATAGGGGTTCCTATTTGAAAAAAAAGGGTTAGGGTCCGCCCCCCGTCAGGGGGGTCGCCCCCCGAAATTTTGGGTACGCCAAAAAGTAGTTCCCTTTCACCTAGGAATATTCCCCAAATTTCGAATCCCTAGCATTTTTTGTTCATGAGTTATGAGCGGAGGCCCAGACTTTTGAATGAGCCGCCATTTTTTGGCCGCCATTTTGTTAAAAATTGAGGTATCGACAATCGGTTTGCGCCAAAAGTTTTCTTTTTTTAAGCCCTTTCGAATGATGTATCACAAGATAGGGGTTCCCATTTGAAAAAAAAAAGTTAGGGTCCGCCCCCCCTCAGGGGGGGCGCCCCCCAAAATTTTGGGTACGCCAAAAAGTAGTTCCCTTTGACCTATGAACATTCCCCAAATTTCAAATCTCTAGCATTTTTTGTTCAAAAGTTATAAGGGGGGTCCCAGACTTCAGGATAACCCTGTATGTAGTTTTGCATTTTGGCCGTTGATACGCAGTATATTCATAGGACCATTTTAAACAATTTTTAGATCAAAACACGCAAAGAAACATGGGCTTGCCAACTTATTTCGGAACAATTTTTAAGGCCAACATGACCACACCGCGGAGATATTACAACATGAAGGAAAAGCAAC